TACACTCCTAATTACTAACTAACTTTGCAATATAAAACATCAAAAATTGTAACTCATTACTATAATTAGAACTGATTTGAAAAATACGACTTTTAAAAATCAGTAAAATTTATAAAGTGAAAAATTCCTGAAAGAAAGTCGTAAAGAAAATAGTACAGTAAAAAATCCCATAGAAACAAACTGGAGTCTGTGACACTGAACTAAAGGCAGCTGCAATGGTTACGGTATATAGCGGGGTGATGTGGAGAGTGCGCCATCGAAGATCAGTGCATTTTTAGTTACCTCATCTACCTTGCGTAATTCCTTGCTCGTGAAAATTGTTTATGCATTTCAATGTAATTTTGCGGTTAACCTAGCTGAGCTGTAGCTAGTTTTAAACGCTTTTGAAAATGGAAATTATGTTAACATAAACATTGAATTACCTGTTTACATTTAAAATATGTATGTTTTAATATCCACATAGTTAATAAAATATGGTCTTTGCTTTGACAAGAGATCCAAGCACGAAAAACGACCAAAGTGGCGTATATAAAAATCATGTGCACAACATAGCCTATAAGAAAACGGGATAGAACGGTACGTTATTGTTTAACCACATTATCCTCTCAGGGTTAGAAGTCTTATACATACAGCATACTCACCTGTCAAACAATTCAGTAAATAATTTAAACGCTAAAAAAGAAAAAAAAACACCTTTTTGTCTAAAAGTAGGCCTACGGTACGGAGTTTGATTATATATGAGCCTATTCCTATTGGCCAGTATTCGTTAACATATTTGATATTTTCTGTAAATAATTTTGTATGCCTAAATAAGGATATTCCTGAAGATCAAACGCGTTACTATTCAATAAACACGATTGAGTGTCTCTCTATAATTCTAGTCTTTTTCTTCTGTTATCATATCATTAAGAGTTCCATTGTTACTAATTCGGCTTTTTATAAATAGTTATCTTGCGTTATTCCCTTTCATTGTTTACTTTGCTGTTTACAATATTTCAGCATTATCATCACACGATATTAAATCTTTCTTTATAATTATTAAAATAATCCATATACTTTAAATAATCCATTGTCTGTGTGTTCGTATGCTCAATGTAGTGCTGATTTTACTATAGATAAATGTTATAATTTGTGTTATTTTTAGGCCTATTATTGTTGTTGATGTTATCATTATTATAATTATTACTAAATTTATTATATTATTTTATTAAAACATATTTAGCCAGGTTAACATATACAGACGAGATGGTACGGTACCTTTTTTTTTTTTATTACAATTTAACAACATACAAGAACGCTACCTAAACATGCAATACAATATAATACAATACAAATAAATAATAAAAACTATGGTTGAAAAATATTTCCGCCAGAGACCAACCCGGTATTTCTGATTCTATGTTTCGTTGCCAGGAATCACAATGTTGGGCTTAACTAAGGTTTACTAATTACGATATTTGTATATTTTATACCCTTTATGTTATTTTAATTGTATAGAGCTATAATCTTATTGTCCATAAATTGTTTTAGTTTTCTACCTACCAGTTTAAATCTAGTTTTTTTTGTAGTAAACAGGTCTATATTAAAAAAAAATGTTATTCAGCGTTATGCATCATAAACTAAGTATATAAATCCAAGACAAGCCGTCATTGTCTTTAGAAAATCCAATACCAGGATACAGCTGATATTTTATAGAAACATATTATTTATAAAGCATTACGCAATTCCACGAATGGTCAGGATAGGCCTATATAAACTGGCTCAAAGTGAGATCGTCCTTGAGTTCATTCTGGAAAAGCAATCAGAAAAGAAATAAAACATGTTTTTTACTCTACTTACTATTGTAGGTCTAGTAATACTGGTCCCATCGACGACTCTGCATATCGATTCTGTGGCATCGTATGAGGAACAGAAAGAAATTAGGGGTCCACGACAAACATACAAGGCGCCTTGTGTAGCAATACCTAGACTAACAGCATCTCAGCAACAAGCTTTTCAGACGTTTTCCAGTAGGGTAAATAGAATGCAACGAAAAGAAGATTACATTTACAGCTATGATCAGCCAATAATCGAGTTTAGTAAGCAACAGAAGTATGCAATTTTGGTCAACTATTGGTACTTATTCAGGCCAGTTGCAAGACCAAATATAGTAAAATCCGCTTCTGTTAACACATTCAAAGATACTTGTCCAAGCATCACAAACACTCCAAGAAAGATTTATGCTGCAGTGACTGACAACGGAGATGTTGTTGGTGTTGCACAGGATCTAGAAAAACTATCAGAGGTACGTAGCCTTAATAGCCTATTTATCTTGATTAACAACCTTAGCATTGTATTAATAAAATATTCAAAACGCATTACAATAAACATCAACATCCTTAATTGGCTAAAATAATAGATGATGATAACTATATAAAATATCCCCGAAGCTAGCATGAGCATATAGCGAAAGATTTAAGTGTTAGTCTCAAGGTGCTTAGATAATATAGTATTAAGTATATCTGTTCTTTGTTTTTGTTTTGCATTTATTTGTATTTAATAAATGTTTTGTGATTTTAATTCCAGGATAAAATGAAATATTATATCAAGTAATATGCCTAAATATTAGGCATTGATATATTAGTATACTAAATATTAGTTCATAGTTGTAGTGTAAAAAACAAAAAAGGAATCATGTTAGATAAACAACGTGGTAAGAACGGTTTTAAAAAATCGGGTGCACCTTGTTTGACTAACATTTATTTAACACCAGCTTTAACTATTCCTCTTCTTTGATTGATAGGCCTATATAGTTGGTCTTCTTAATTATTAATAATATATTTTGTTGTTTGAGGTATTCTTCTTATTAATTAATGTTGTATATACACATACAAGTTGACACCGGTACCCGATTTAAAAAAAAATCTTACCACATAACTAATATGGCTCCTTTTTTCTTTCACTTCTTAATCCCTATAAAATTGAAAAAGTCTATATTCCTTGCACGTCTTCCGTCATATTATTTTGAAAAAAAAAAACTCAGAGAAACTGAATTATTTCAATCTGTGTTTTATTGGATATGGAAAACCATATTATTCAAGTTTTTGAGATTTTATCACAAAAAACAAAACATTTTGCTCCTATCGTGGTTAAAGTTGGATAGTTTGAAATCTTAATCCAACATTACATTAATTCTATGAATAACTATTCGAATTATGCTTTAATTGTTCTATCTTCGATTACTGAATAAAAAATTACTGTTTGTTATCATTGTTTACTATTATCTTTTTTTTTTCTCAATAGTTAGGTGTCGATGGAGTTCAGAAATTCGAAGACGTCATATGTGAAGGAGTTGACTGCCCTCTTCCCTTCGAATCTTGTGGATGTGATTGTAGATGCAGCCAACTGGATGGTTATGCAAATGCTGTGGTTTATAACTATACCGATGTTTTTATCGCACGAATCTATGTAGGAGGAGGTGGATGTAAATCTATGTACTCGTGCGACTAAATACGTCAATAGTGTCGATAATGATTGCAGATTAATTGTTATATATATTTAAAAAATGACTGAATCACAGATGACAAACATTTCTTTGTATGAGTTCAAATTAATATTGTCATGATAAAAACATTTGTTTGCTGATTTTTATCATGGTCATTATAAATCATCATTGTAACTATCATTATCATTATGTAAAGTTATATTATAACATCAATATTTTACAATAGCCAGTACCTGAACCCATTTCCTTAACAATTATGAGCTTTGAGATAATATCATGATGACGGTTTTTCAACTTTAATAATAGGCCTAATAATTATTCTGGATTACCTCGAGGCGCTATCTATGTCTAATACAAAATTTTGAGTAATTTTTAATATTTTTACATATTGTAAAGGTTTTTAATGTTTTTTTAAATGTTGATATAATATTGTGGCATTTTAAAATTATTTTATATTAGATTGTAATGAGTTTTTAAAATAATAATATTGTAATGTTTTATTCGTAATTGTTTGTAAGTTGATTATTGTAAATTGTAATTACATTTTATTACAATATTTTAGAATTATAATTGCACGATATTTTATAGTATGTTTATATATTAAAATAATCAATACTTTATTGCATAATTAAAACAAAAGATGCTATCATGCCTGTACCATATTCGTATGTACATTGTGTTGTATTATTGCTTTGGTTGCTGATTTTTTTTATTTCAACTTTTATTGTTTCATTTTAAAATAAATCATACAAGGGTACATTCAAAGAAATGTAAACTACTTTTTTTTTTAATACAATGCAACAAAATAAATACATTAATAATAATAAATGACATATCTATCTAATTATTATGCTGATTATGGTTGCTGATTTTAGATAATTCTTATACAATAGGCATATTTGTATATTTTATTCCCTTTATGTTTCTATTTGTATATAGATACAATCTTACTATAATGTCTATAATGTGTTTTATTGTTTTTCCACCAATTTCTATATGAATTTCTATTTTTATTTCTAATAAACATAGGTCTATATATTTTTATTAGTATCATTCAGTGTTATGCATCATATAAAAATATAAGTAACCAGGATACACCTGATATTTTATAGAAACATATGTAGGTCTATAATGGCATTACGTAAGCCCTCGCATGGTCAGGCTAGGCCTATATAAACTTGAACAAACTTACTTATTGATGAAATCGTTCTCAAGTTCTTTCTGGACAGCAAGTCGAAACGAAATACACTTGGTTATTACTACTAATTTAAATTCTCATTATAATATACCTCCGTGCCCTGATATACTCCATTGCTGTAGGCCTATATTCAGTAAAAATTTATCTAGTTACAGTAATAAACAGCGAGTATTAATGTACAGAACGCACCTTACTATATACTGCGGAATTTTAAGTGCAATGATTTATTAAGGCAGTTTATCTATTATTTTGTTTATTTGGCAGTTACAGCACATGAGTTACAAAAGCAGGACGCCAATACCAGTCACCTGAGAGGAGCGGGCCTCCCTGCAACAATCCAAACAGCAATGGCAAATTAAAAAATATATATAGGCCTATACAACAAAAGGATCACGATTTATACAATACCTTATTTCCTTTTATTATAATTTGATATTGAAAACCTATAAAATTATAAAAAACAAAATTCTTGGAGAAAAACTATTTTGACTGTTACAGAGGCATCAAATAAATTCACAAAGAGACTGAAATTAAGGTTCTGGTGATAAATAATGTTTATTGAGTAAAGTGAAATCAACTGCACAACGAACGCACGTAAAATTAAAAGCGAACAAGAAGTTACGGTATTAATTCAGAAATCACAATGGGATGCTCTGAATAAGGCCATTATCAAATGGGAATGGGTGGTGGGAAAAATATTGAAGTTTACTTGGAATACAATCAACTTGAACGGATTGAAGCCTGATGACAAGAGAGAGAATGTGACGTTGACCTCTGTCAGTCAAAACAAGATTGAGCCCTCAATCTTTTCATTTTGACTGTTACAAAGGCATCAAATAAATTCACAAAGAGACTGAAATTAATGTTCTGGTGATAAATAATGTTTACTGAGTAAAGTGAAATCAACTGCACAACGAACAGACGTAAAATTAAAAGCGAACAAGAAGTTACGGTATTAATTCAGAAATCACAATGGGATGCTCTGAATATAAGGCCAAAGGCGGGTCGCATGTAAATGAAGGCACGCCAGCAGCCCATACTAAGTGCAAGTTTTGCAGTTGATCCTTTACTCAAAGAGGGAGTAACCTAAGGCAATGAAACATGCACTAACAGCATGTATAACACATGAAGGGAAATTGCATCTAACAGGTGGCACAGCATGCGCTGACCAGCAGTGCAATACATCGAAAAGAACCTTGTAATTTACATGCGGTACCGTACGGCATGCGCTGACAACCAGTATGATACCTAATCTAAGAAACCCACCCTGTATGACATGGTACAGCATGCGGTGATATCCAGTACGCTACTTACTCGAAGAAGAACCCTGTATGTGACATGTGGTACAGGAATTAAATTATTAGTTATTAGTTAATAACAAAAACATTAATAAAACTTATTTGTTTTGTTTTATAGTTCATTTCCTACTCTAAGAAGAAACCTGTATATGACATGTGATACAGCATGCGCTGATATCCTGAGTAAAATGCAAAGAAACCATATACATTACTATCTATTTGTAATATTACATGTGGTACAGCATGCGCTGATATCCAGTATAACAAGGCAGATTCATTACCTCATCCCTGTATATTATTGTATATAATGAAATACTTCTTATTGATATTTTGTTATAAACAAATAAGGAGATAGAGAAATCTAAACTTGGAAATTGAATTTTAGTTATTAATAATACAGGCAATAAAATTAAAGATATAAAATGGTAAAAAAATAATCATTTAAATCAGACATTACAGGAGTTTAAACAACAGTACAGTATTTAAGAAGTCAGCCTTCAAAATTTACGATTCGGCTATGTCATTGTTATTTTACGTTTTATTTTTTTTTAATTTTTACTACGTTACACAGCATTGCCATTACGGAGTGTTTGACTGAGAGGCAATGATCCTGCTTCTTGTGCTGAAGACCCTGGTCAAACCCGGCCAGCGTCGGGTTTTAATTGGAGTCAGATCGCTATACTCCTCGAATAACCCTCACTGTGAGTTAAGCAGGATAAGGGGCATAATATACGTTAAATGTCCGTGCACAGTGAACAATATTTAATATAATTATCAGAGCGGTTTTTCATCATGCATTAAAAAAATTAAACAAATCAAAAGACAAAACAAAAACAAAATAAAACAAAACAACCAAACATAATTGCATTATTTGAAATAATCAAGTAATGTTTGATCCAGTAAATAATGAGACTACTTATGCTACAAGTTTGAGTGATAACCTTCCAAAGCGACATTTTCAGAGAGTTATGGCCTTTGTGGTGAGATAATCATGGTTGTTCTGGCTTTACACTCAATTCATGAAAGTCCTTGGCAGAAAGTCTTTGGTTGGTTTGCCTATTTTATACATAAATACATAAAGTAGATAAAACAATCAATTAAACAAGCATGCAACCGATCACATAAATCAATACAAAAATGAAAATTAGATTAACTTGTATAGCGCAATTCAATATTATCGCAATGCTCCAAATTATCTAAAACTGTTTTTTTTTTTTTAACCCAATCGTATTTAGGCCTAACTACAAATGTCCATACAATTAACCAGTATAATTAATTATAATATAGCAACAATTATTGTTATGACAATTATATAGGCCTATAGGTATACATATAAGATATTTCATAATCCAAATTCGCACTAACAGCATGTATAACACAGTTAAATACCGTATCACACCATAAATATTCAGTAATTGTAAAAATTTAGTTTTTGTGATTGTTGTACGTTATAACGTTATGCAACTCACCTGGTCACTAATTCCGCTTCCTCGACCGTCTGGGGCAGCGGAAAATTCAAAGTTTCCGGCAAAAGTATCGCCAATATTCCAGCAGACACTGACGCAGCACTAAACGTGACCAGTGGTAATGGCGTCCATAGCTTTTCAAGAAACAGAAGCTGAGGAGCAAGCACTCCCGCCACACGTGACATAAACGAGCAGATTCCTAATCCAATGCTCCTGCATTCAAATTGAAATTAGATGAAAATAACAAAAATAGTACCTTCCGAGTAAAATACCGTTAGTTATAATAAGTACAGGACCTATTTTTAATTGAATAGCGCCATTCACGAATAAGCACCGCGCCGCTGCACTAAACGATTTTTTCCCGCTAGCTCAGGTCACGAATAAGCTCAGAGGAACTAAACGTTGATTTTTTTTTCGCTAAGCGCAGCTCACGAATAAGCGCCGTTGCATTTAACGTTATTTTTTCCACTAAGCGCAGATCAAAATTAAGAGCCGTTGCACTAAACGTGATTTCTTTTCGCTACACTAATAAGCGCCCTTGCACTAAACGTTATTTCTTTTCGCTACACTAATAAGCGCCCTTGCACTAAACGTTATTTTTTCCACTAAGCGCTGCTGACGAATAAGCGCCGAGGCACTAAATGGGATTTTTTGTTTTCGCTAAGCACAACACCAATGCTCTTGAATATGGATGAGCAAAGAAATAGTTAATATAATTGAAAAAAATATGAGAGCCTATACCTGACATCAGTTGAGTAAAGTTCGCAAGTAAACGTGTATATCAATGAAAATGTAGAAGTCACAAAAAAGCGTCCTGCCATAGATAGGGCGGTTCGTAATGCCTCCATATGAGTAGCTAGGTAAACATAAAATTATAATTTTAAAAAAAACCCCATAAAGGTTCATATTTATTACCGTAGTATACTACATACATTCCTACATAATAGGCCTATGTATAGGCCTATTTAATAAAAATTTCTCCCCTGAAGAAAAAATAGTGTTGTTCCAGATTTCATATTATATAATAAAAACTGAATGGATATAAAACTGGAAGGCTGCATTGGCAAACAAGATAGTAAATTACAAAAAAACACTTGGGAGATGTAATATGATGCCAGAAGTATTTATTAAATCAATGAGCCAACGTGTTCGGTTATCAACATTTGTCAATAGACATAGCCTATATAATCAAGGATAAGAGGGCTCAAATAGGATAAATGAATAATATACTAACTATACAATAATAATCTCCCAAACATCTGGTAAATAAATAAATATATTTATTTATTTTTTTAAATTTATTGCACATCCAACAGTGTAAACATTACAGGAT